AGGGCACTTCTAGAAATTCACAGTTGCACCTGTGCATTGGTTCTCAGCCTTGGCTGGACATCAAATTACCTGAGAAGCTTTTAAAAACTCAGGTCCCATAGACAGAAAATAGTATGGTGATTACCAGAGGGAAAACGGGGTGGGAGTAGATAGGAGAGAATAAAGGGTGGATAAATGGTGTAGGAAAAAAAACATGACTTGGGGTGGTGAACACACAATACAATATATAGATGATGTATTATAGAATTATACCTGAAACCTATATAATTTTATCATAATTTTATCAATCAATCTCACTCCAATAAATTCAATTAAAAAATAAATAAAAATTGAAAAACAGATGCCAGGGCCTATACTGGACAAATTAACTCAGAAATTCTGGGTGCGGGGGGGGGGGGGGGGTGTTAAAAGGCATTAATATTTTTTAAAGTTCCTAAGGTGATTACAATCTATAGCCGATATCTCCCATAGAATGTAGCAACCCTGTTCTAGATTAATAGACAGAGTCATTAATGCATAGATAAGAACAGGGTGAGACAGAGCATAATAGCTTAACATATTTGAACATCTTGGCACAATGAATCATCCTTTTTTTTTCTGAGATCTTTTTTACCTAACGACCAGTTCTTCAAAATTAATGTCAACATCTTGGCAAAAGATGAAAATTTTAAATAAATCCATTCTATTGCTTCACTAATTTTAGGAAACTAAATCATGGCCAAAATGTGATACAAAATAGAACCATTTAAAAAAGTAGTTTAAGAAGTAAATAATGTACAGGCTTGGAAATGATTTTAAGAGCCCCTCAGTTACTGCTAAGGTTATATGTGTTCCAGGTGTCAGAAAGACCAAATCCTACAGAAAAAAATGAAAGAAAAGTTTTAAAAATAATTTAAAAGTCAGAATGAGTATATTTTTGTACAGAGTAGAAAGATTGCTCTCATTCTATAATTTTTAACTCAAAAAGTTGAATTGAATTACTCTGGTAATTTTTCTTACTCTTCTTGATATGAAGAAAAAAATAGCATGCTTAACCAGAGTAGTCTGAGGACCCATTCTGTCCATGGCTGTGTTTTATTGCTGTTGTTTAAATATATTTTTATTGATTTCAGATAGGAAGGGAGAAAAAGAGAGATATAGAGAGACAATGGTGAGAGAGAATCATTGATTGGCTGCCTCCTGTACACCCCTACTGGGGATTGAGTCAGCCACCTAGCATGTGCCCTGACCAAGAATCAAACTGTGATCTCCTGGCTCGTAGGTCGGCACTCAACCATTGAGTCACACCAGCCAGGCCATGGCTGTGTTTACTGATTCACAACAGATAAGAATTTGAGAGTAGTCCTAGCCAGTTTGGCTTAGTGAATATAGCATTGACCTATGGACTGAAGGGTCCCAGGTTCTATTCCTGTCAAGGGCACATGCCTGATTGGTGGGCTCAGTCCCCTATGTAAGCGTGCAGGAGGCAGCTAATCAATGATTCTCTCTCATCATTGATGTTTCTCTCTCTCTCTCTCTCTCTCTCTCTCTCTCTCTCTCTCTCTCTCTTTCTCTCTGAAATCAATAAAAATATAATTTTTAAAAAGAATTTGAGATTAAAGATTTAGGAACTTTTATAGTAATCAAATAATCTCTATTGAATTACATAACAAAATATTGAGGCTTCTGTTTTGTTTATCTTTGTGTTTTTATTTTACTTTTTTATAATTAACTAGAGGCCCAGTGCATGAAATTCATGGGAGGGGGGGCCTCAGCCCAGCCTGTACCCTCTCCAATCCGGGACCCCTTGGGGGATGTCTAACTGCAATTGGACATCCCTCCTACAATCTTGGACCTCTGGCTCCCAATCACTCACTTGCCTGTCTGCCTGGTTGCCCCTAACTGCCCCCCTCTTTGCCAGCTTGATTGATCCTAGCTGTCCCCTTCCTGCTGGCCTGGTCACACCTTACTGACCCCCCTGCCAGCTGGTCACCCCCAACTATCCCCCTCTGCCAGCCTGGTTGCCCTCAATTGTCCCCTCCACCAGCCTGGTCATCCCACACAGCCTGCTTGTTCAGTCATTTGGTCATCCCTCACTAACCCCCCTGCCAGCCTGGTTGTAAGCAGCCATCTTGTGAAGGTGTGATGGTCAATTTGCATATTAATTGCCTCTATTATATAAGATTTTTATTATATTTTATAACAATATAAATCCACAGCAAGTTAGGAATTCTAAAAATTTGGTCTTTTACACACAGAGAAAGAAAAAGTGAATTAAAACAAATTACATTTTACCTTACACATTTTAATTTATATTTTAAAGGCCTATTTCATTTTACATTAGATTGTCATTTTTAAAAATTATTTCTGCTTCAGGCTTATATGCATTGCTGGAAACTCTTTTATCAAAAAACCTTATCAAACTCTTTTATTTGAAACCTTATCAAACACAGGTGATAAGGTTTTGGTTTAGCAATAGTAGCTCATTTTCTCAGAGGAACCACAATGTCAGGTAACACCAAGAAGTTGTTAATTCCTTTTGGAGAGGAAGGTACTCTCTGTTTTAAGAATAAAATTAAGTCACTCTCTTCTCATTGGAAACAGCTAATCATAGGGTTTCAAACTATTAATGTAGAGACACCTTTTTTAAATATGAGGAAGCCTGCACAGGGAGGTTCATTTTTCAAGATCATACAGCGAGTGAAGGGAGAGGTCCGAATTCAAACCCGAGACACTGTACCTGACACGCTGCCCTGACAACGCCTGCCCTCTCTCTGCTGCTCCAGTGGGAACCCTGAGAGTGGAGGCTTATATAAGCTTCTCTTCCAGGTACCTGAAATCCGGTAATAAATATGCTTATGAGTCTCCTTAATGTGTAAATTTCCTTGTTCTACTTAGAGCTTTCTGCACGTAGACAAGATTAATGCTTGTCCCAAACTGATTTGCACATCACAAGGGAGTAGTTCAGGGCAGAGGAAAGTCAACAATCTCCACGCCAGCTGTCCTGATGTTGAGACTGGTTCAATCTAGGTTACCAATCAACATGCTCCAAAAGCAAACCCACCTTGATCCTCTTTAGGAAATAAGTGAGACAAGCACTTACCAAACAATTGAATATCCCTGAGAAATATCAAGTCTTTGAAGAGATTCCATAGTGACTATGGCATAGTCACGGCGAGGAATCGAGAAACTGCATTAATTAATTGAATCCATGTCTGTTCAGGGAACTAAAAACTTTACTACTTCAGAGAAATATCTGCGCACACACACACACACACACAAAACAAAACAAAACTGAAAATGCTAATCAGTTATTTGGCTCTCTTTTCTAGATAATGCTAGAAAAATCCAGATTTTTTGACATGGTTTAGTTTTCACATGAGAACATAGCATTTAATTGTATATTATTGTTCACCAACATTAAAATGAACAATTCTGCTTTTTTACCACACTCTAAAACATTTAGCAAAGTATTTTATCTTCCTTGTACACATTGGTGACTTTTATTTTTATAAGAGTTCATTTGGGCCAAATCTGAGGACAATTGCTGGGAAGCAAGATCGAAAGTGCTCCCACTGGTACCTTATTAAAGTCAGAAAGTGAATGATTCCTCAATTCTTAGCCTCAATGAAATCAGCTGATTGTATGCAATGGATGTGTCCCCTTCAATAACAGAAAAATCCAGATTTAAAAAAAAAAAAAAAAGCTAATGGGTGAAATGGGGGAAGGTTGTCAAAAGATATAAACTTCCAGTTATAAGATAAATAATTCCTGGGGCTGTAATGTACAGCATAGTGGCTATTACTAACAATACTGTATTGTGTATTCAAAACTTGCTGTGAGATAAATCTTACAAGTTCTCACCATGAGAAAACAAGTTTTGTCAATACGAATGGTGATGGATGCTAACTAAACTTGTGGTAATTATTTCACAATTTGTACATATATCAAGTTATGTTGTACACCTAATACAATGTTATAAGCCGATGGAATCAATAGAGAGAGAATAGCTATAGAGCTCATTGTGTATCGCAAGATAAATTTTAAGTATGTAGACCTGGTCTGAGATTTCAATGGCATTAGATTGGAATCTTCTGGAGTGAGTAATGAGTGTTTTTCTAAGTCAGCCTTCAGCTGATTGTTACATAAAGTCTTAGTGGGTCTTCATTAGAATCTGTCTAGCAGTCTTTGGGGAGCTGAGATCAGATGGCATATACCAGTGATGCTGTAAGATTATGTGGGACACAGTAAAAAAAAAAAAAAAAATTTTTAAGTTTTAACCAGAAAAGTAAAACGAATAAAATCTAATTACATGGAGTTTCTCTTAAAACAAAAAATTGATTGAGTTCTGCCCAAAGTGGCTTGTTGTTTCCTGTGCCAGGAACTACTGTGCAGGCCCAGCAGGAAGTGTGCTACGGAGCAGGATCGCATTTCACCCTTGTTTTATGGTTCATTTCACTTATTTAATGCAATCCGAGAACCTGTAAAAGGAACATGTTAGATGGAGGGAATAGGCTTTTTGTCTTGTTTGGTTTTGTTTTGTTTTGTTTTTTTAAGTTTCTTTGAATCAAAACATTTGTTTTTACAAGGTGCTTGGAGTCCCAGAGAAGCAGGACTTCCAGCGTTGCATGGTGAAGACATTTCTCTTTGTCACAAAACGTCAAGCGAGACGCCGAGTGGGGTTATGTCTAGCACTGGGCTATGCCTTTCCTTGCTGTCCTAATCACGTAGTCTTCAACCTGAAGAATTACAACCATGCCCACGAGTGGTCCAGATCGTTTTTGAATCCATAGAAGCTCCTCCTATAGGGTCTCCAGCTTGATGGAGAGCCCCTGATGATGGGAGTGGGTATGGGGAGGGAGGGGGAAATAGGAATATGTTTAAGGTGCACAATCGTGATTCACTTGTCAAGCAAAAGGAGTTCATTTGGCTCCACTGCTTCAAGATGTGTGAGCTGAACAGCTGGATTTCCTTGCGGTGGCAGACGCCGCTCCTCACACGCTGTCTGTTTTCCTCCCCAGAGACCTCAGCATGAACAACATCAGTCAGCTGCCCCCGAGCCCCCTGCACAGCCTCCGCTTCCTAGAGGAGCTGTAAGTATCGCCGTGGCCACGGTGCGTCCAGGCCACGCTGGACACATGCTTGTGTTTGCCTCTCAGACTTGCTGTGGGAACCAGATAAAACAAGGCAGAGAAGCTGTCAGCACCAACAATTCTGGCACATGAGGAAGCACTTAGTTGGGAGGGGGAAACAGAAGAATTGCTTATGATTCTGGAAATCCACTTATGAAAGAGTTTACCGTGGGGCTACGGCATTCTAAGGCGAGACTGGGCCAAACAAATTAAAACGTTAAAACAAAGGCCGTTTAAAAGGGCTGGATGGCTCCTTGGAAATAGTTAAGCAGCAGGATATTAAAAGTTTGAATGCCGGTTCATGTTTATTAAAATAGTAAGGAAGGCTATAATCAAAACCAAAAACGGCTGCTTGGTTCGGTGTGGGTCAGGGAGTCCACATTTCATTTTTTTGTCCTGATCACTTTTAATTACTATTTTCCTAGTAATTTAGCTTCCCTCAGAGCTTGAACAGAAAAACATGAAATCCATGATAGACTTACAACTATGCTCTCCCAAACTCACTGGGGGGGGGAGGGGGGAGGATTAAATTAAAAACGAAGAAGCTAAATTGGTTAATGATACACAGAGGAATCTTCATTAAGTCCCGTAATCAATTTCCAGAAGATGAAAAAGAACTGTATACACCAAAAATCTGCATTTAAAAATTCATTGGATCCTCTTACCCCTTTGAGTGAGAAGGACTGAGGAAGTGAAGCGCCATGGTAGTCTTCATGAAGAAAGTTTGGCACCATCCCTTGAGTAAATCCTCTGATTTCTGATTAAAGGAATTGTTTAGGCAATGACCTCTTTTTTAAAATGCTTTTTTAAAATAAATCCTAAAAGTTGGGGTTCAATTTAAGGAGTAATTTAAATTGTTGATGCACCACAGGATCCACTATGGGAGGTGGAAAGAATGTTCCATCACAATCAAATGACACTACATCAATCTCTTTTTCCTTAAGAGGATAATATTCAAATTTCTTCCCTTTAGTTTACATTTATTTATTTTGGTAGCATTATATTTTTAACAAATGCTATTGTTTTAATACTTAAGTCAGCTGAATGTACCTACATTGGTATAGAGGAGTTTGCTGGAAAGGCTTAGATTATTGGGCTGTACAGTAGGTTTTACTCATTCAATGAATGGATTTTCCCTGTAAATTATCCAGGAGCTTCTTTTTTTTCTTTTATCTCTGGCCTTTTGTTTGTTTGTTATTGTTGTTTTGTTGTTAATCCTCACCCAAGGATATTTTTCCACTATATTTTTAGAGAGAATGGAAGGCAGGGGGTGAGACAGAGAAACATCAATGTGAGAAAGACACATCGATTGGTTGCCTCCCACATGCACTTGCAACCAAGGAATGTTACCTTGACTGGAGTCAAACCTGCAACCCTTCAGTCCACGGGCCCATGTTCTATCCACTGAGTCAAACCAACTAGGGCTATGTCTGATGAAGGTTAAAATTTAACCTTCATCAAGGTTGGGATCACATCTGTCTTCATTACAGCTGGTATGCAATACATGGTAAATTTTTGATGAATGAGAAAATGAACTAATAAGAAAGCAAGTGTGTAAAAGGAGCTTCTTATACAAGTTAGCTGCCTTAGAAAAAAAGGTAACATATTAGTTGACATTAGCCAATATTTTTAAAGGTTAATTTTAGTAAATTTCAAATATCAGTGTTATTTTCTTATTTACATCCTTATCCTCCCACCCCCACCATAATTAATACGCAATACTTGGTCCTCTTTATCCTCATATTTTTAAGACATTCATTTCCTATCCTTTTTTCTTTAATTTCCTTATAATATGTAATGGAAGAAGGACACCCCAACTTAATACCACGAACTAAATCAATAAATAATTCACTTCCCCAAGGACTTTAATAGAATTCCTCCCTCAATGACCCAACTTATTCAAAATAACTCCTTTCTTCATGAGGTGAATGTTCATTTTCTTCCAAGGCCAGTTTTTCAAAAGATAATTGAGAAAAAATCAGCAAGAGAGGAAGGGAACTATTATTTGAAAAATGCTGTTTTTCTGAATTGTCTTTTTTATATATATATATCTGGAAACTCCATCAAGTATCTTGACCATGGAATCAGAATTTCAGAAATAGAGGACACTTTTTTAAGACTGTTCATTCCATTTTCTCATTCTGTTCTTGAATTCCCTCTGCTGAGTTGGCCAACTTGCTGAATTTAAAGACCACTTTCCCATATATAATTCTGTGTTGCATCTAACATATTTGAAGAAATAGTTATTTATTTAGTGGCAAAAGGGGATAGTATTTATAGAACCTGGAAAAATGATCAACTCTGCTTGGTTTATTACTTTATTCCCCAGGCTAAATTTATGGGTTGCCTTTGTTACATTGTTAATTGTTTCTATTAGAGTTAGCTATGTTTAAGTCTATGTTCTCTTCTAGAATATAAAATCTTCAAATTCATATAATTATAATGACAACAATAATAGTTTACATTGTGCAAAATATTTTACCCATATTATCACACTGAATCTTAATAACCATATAAAGTTAGATATTAATTCCAGTTCATAGATTTTTTTGAAAATATATTTTTATTGATTTCAGAGAGGAAAAGAGAGGAAGAGAGAGATAGAAACATCAACAATGAGAAAGAATCATTGATTGGTTCCCTCCTGCACGGCCCACACTGGTGATCAAGCCCACAGCCCGGACTTGCGCCATCATAGGGAATTGAATCGTGACCTCCTGGTTCATAAGTCAACACTCAACCACTGAGCTATGCCAGCCGGGCCAGATCACAGATTTTTTTACAAAACTAACGTACAGAGAAATGAGGAACTTACCCAAAACAATTAAGTCAGAATGTGCCAGAGCTGAGATTCAAACTCACTTTCAGAGGCAGACTCAGAAAGTAGAAAGAAGTTCAGGAATTGTGCATTTAATCTGTGCTTTTCTTTCCCTCAACAATGCCTAGCACAGTGGTTTACGCAGTGGAAAACTTTATATATATATATATATATATATATATATATATATATATATATAACTATATAATATATATATATAACTTTATATAATATATATATATATATATATATATATATATATATATATATATATATATATTAGAGGCCCAATGCATAAAATTTGTGCAAGCACCAGCTTCCCTCTGGCACCCAGGACCAGGACTTCCCTTGCAGCCGTGGCTTCATCTGGAAGGACGACCACTCTAATTAGCATATTATGCTTTGATTATTATAGATATATTTTTATTGATTTCAGAAAGGAAGGGGGAAAGAGAGAGAAACATCAATGATGAGAGAGAATCATTGATCAGCTGCCTCCTGCATGCCCTCTGTGGGCATCAAGCTGGCAACCTGGGCATGTTCCCTTGACCGGAATCAAACCCGGGACTCCTTCAGTCCGCAGGCTGATGCTCTATCCACTTAGCAAAACCAGCTAGGGTTGCACAATGGAACATTTTAAAATGTTGTTTAAACTGAGTTTCATAATGATAGTGTGTCTGTGTATGTGTATATGTGAGGGAATGAGAGAGAAGGGATTGGATATCCAGGTTATTCATTCACTAGTATTACATATTGGCTATGAGAAAAGTGTCATCAGAATTTTCAGGTGTAGAATTTCATCAATTTAGCATTGCTCAACAGGTACACAATCTTAATTAATGTTGTTCTTTACATATGCATATAATTAAGCAGCATATCTTATATAGTATTCTAACTGAACGAACAAATGACCAACCATCCAGCTAGAAACGGACATTCAGTCAGCAATCATTTTGTGGGAATATGTACTTTTGTTATGACAATTAAGGCATTGTTCTGAAAGTATTCTTTCATTTAGTTTATTCTGCTCATCTCTATGCTTCATCTCTTTATATATTAAATAAAATTCTCACCCCGAAACTCAATTTTTAAAAATCACAGTTAATAAATCCACGTTACCAATCTTCCCCTTACTGTTCATTACCCAATACAGGGTGGGGCGAAAGTAAGTTTACAGTTGTTCGTATGGAAAATAATACAAGCATCAACAAATAATGATACAATAACCTCTGTGTTTTACCTACTCACAATTGCAAACTTTCTTTTGCCCCACTCCCTAGATCATTTCCATAGTTCAATTTATTTAACTATGTTTTAAACCCTGTAGACAGCCATAGTTCGTTCCTCATTCATCACAGGAACTTACCAACAGCTCCATAGTTTAAAAACTTAGGGACACAGACAACAGTGTGATGATTGCCAGGTGGAAGGGGCATTAATGGAGGTGGAGGAGGGTATAGAAAGATAAACGGTGATGGATGGGGACTTGACTTGGGGTGGGGAACACACAGTGTGGTGAACAGATGATGTGTTGTAGAATTCTGCACTTGAAACCTGTATAATTGTGTTAATTAGTATCACCCCAATAAATTCAATGAAAAGAGAAAAAATGAAATTTGTTTTGAGTTTTAAAAAAATAATAATAAAATAGCCCTGGCCAATTTGGCTCAATGAATAGAGCGTTGGCCTGCGGACTGAAGGGTCTGTGGTTCGATTCTGGTCAGGGGCACATGCCTGGGTGGTGAGATCAATCCCCAGTAAGGGGTGTGCAGGAGGCAGCCAATCAATAATTCTCTCTCATTATTGATGTTTCTATCTCTCTCTCCCTCTCCCTTCTCTGAAATCAATAAAGATATATTTTTAAAATAGTAATAATAAAGCAAAATAAAATCTTCCAAGAATCAATAAAGCCTAAAGGTTTTACCCTAGAGAGAATGACTACGTGGAGCAAATAGAATAAAAGCCAGCATAAAGAGGAAGAATAAGAACCATCACAGTTCATTGTCTCTTCTTCCCTCGCCTGACATTCTGGAATGCTTACTACCTATGCCACACATTTGGGCACATTCAGGTCTCATTGGTTATTTATTTTTTATAAATCTACAAGGTGACCAGACATGCACAGGTCAAATGCCCTGCTGGT